TGGAAAAACCTGAAAATAATGAAAAAAATGGTGACCCACAGTTAACATCTCAGAGTTTTTCTTTAAATTCTGTAGCGAAAGAATAGCAGATTCCATTCACAAGAGAGAAATTCATAATATGAGAGCAAAGTGTTGTACTTACTATTATTATGAATTAGATTATTTTTTCTCTTTAAGAGAAATTGGATTCTTCTTTCCTGTGTGTTATATCAATATAGGAGCAACAGATGGCAAATACAATAGAACCTCCATAGTTGACCACCTTCACATTGACCACCTCCTTAAGTTGACCTAATTTTTGTAGACCAGACATGCACCATGTGTCTATCTCATTGCAGTAGGCCTAGTCCTTATGTTGACTACTTCTGTATGACCAGTTTGTTATAGTCCCTTGGTGGTCAACTTACAGAGGTTCTACTGTGTTTTTATAGTAATTTATAGGGTAAACACTGTAAATTTGTGTCTAGAGTAGTCTGATTCTGTGTTTTACTAAGGAAAAAGGAAATGTTATTCAGTTATCACTTAGCAGTTTATTCACATTTAAATTAGCTGAAAATTACTGTGGTTTTGAACAGTTTGCTTTTGTAAAGGAGTTTTTTTTGTTCTTGTTTCTTTTTTCTTTAAAGATTAAAATGTGTTAATTTTTTAGGGTGAACTGGGCTGCTAGCTTATACCTGGTTTCTTTGGACATTAAAATTTTTACTTAATCAAATAGAGTTGTTGACCCATGTCTTCAAGGAAATAGAAAAAGCTTTTTCCATTTGACATACTTTTTTATTGTTATTAGTGTGATGTGAAACCATTTTGCAATTCCAGCAGAACCTCTACAATTGACCATCTCCCTACCATGACCACCTCCTTAAGTTGACCTAATTTTCATGGACTGGACATGCACCACATGTATGTATTAGTACAGTAGGCCTAGTTCATTATGTTGACCAATTTGTTACAGTCCCTTGGGCGGTCAGCTTACAGAGGTTCCTCTTTATTTCATTCCTCTGTCCTATCTGATTTGCATTTCAGAGGAAGCAGACTGTCCTTTATGTGAAGTGTCCCTTTCTAACAAAACCCAGTGCGTTGAGGGTGGGGATAAGCGAATCTATGTATTTAAAACCATAGAATATTTAGATTTCTTTTGTGTCACTGGGAAAGAATTAATGTGGTATTGCCACAGCTTAAATAGAAAGGATTTCCAGGGGGACGTGCTGGACCCAATTGAACCCCTGATGGACTTTGATTAGAATCAGGTTGTTGACATTTAGTGGTCATTACTTCTAGACATTATTACCCCTTAATGTTGAGAAGATTGAGAGCTAGCAATGGTAAAACCACTTCTGACTCTCACCAATTCCTTTCTTCAGAGAGGACTTTATTTGCCTCAGTATAGGTTATAAAAATAAATTACAAGACCACTATAATTATAAGACCATGCTGTTAAAATGAACTAAGAGGGATACTTAAGAATGATTACATGCTAAATTTATTAGAAGTATGAAAAAATTTTAGTGCATGAAGGAAATGGCATCAAAACTAGGGAAGTATTTTTCTTTTTCTTTTTTTTTTTTTTTTTGCCTTTTTTTGGCCGCGGCTGGGTTTGAACCTGCCATCTCCGGTGTATAGGACCAGTGCCTTACTCCTTTGAGCCACAGGTGCTGCCCGAGAGGAGTATTTTTTGTAGAGGATGAGGTGGCTAACTTTCCAGACTATACTTAAAGTTCTCTTCTGTTTGTAAACAGTAATTCTTCCTTGATTTAATAAACATAAGCACAATCCTATCAGTCACTTCATAAAACTGAATAGGATTCTTTAAGATTTTATGGTCTTTTTAGTGAAATACTTATCTCTGCTTTTTATTTAGCATCTGAAACTTTTTTTTTCCAGTCTTGATTTTGTTGTAATTATCAGCGACAGAGAGGACTTTTATAAATGCTGTTAATGATTTCTTTTTCTTCAGTGAAAGGTATACCTTAAAACGTCTTTTATATCACTGGGAAGTCTTTATTGTTTTACTGTAGATTTTAGCAAAGAGACCTGGACCTTATATATAAATAAAGTATTTCTCAAGTTTCTTTAATGAACTTTGAAAGTGACCTCTGGTGCTTATGGTGATTGCTTTATGAAGTTATCTATATATTCTGAAGAGCCCATAAGACATTTTTTAGTGTAGATAACATTGGGTCCAGCTGTTTAAAGATATACTAGAATTATAAATGCATTGTCTTTAGATAGCTTCAATGAAAATACAGAAAGCAATAAACCTGTGGGTAAATTTTGGCAAAAATTTTTGTATGTCTAAGTGGATTTTAGTTCTGGGATCCTAAGTTAAGCTTTGAAAGTAGAACTTTGAATTTCTGAGTATTTAAAAATTTTTTATTAGTATAGACAGCTCTTTATAATATTAATGAATTTGCTTTTGTGTATTATGTCTTGGTTTCCAAGATAGCTCCTAGAATTGATTTGCTGGCAGCACCCACAGGACTCTGGGTATACTTGTGCTCCTGGCTGTGACTTATTATAGCAGAAGGATACAAAGCAAAATCAGCAAAGGAAAAAGGCCTATGGGACAAAGTCTGAAGGAAACCAGAGACAAACTTCCAAGACTTCTCTCCCACTGAAGTCACACAGGAGATGCTTAATTCCTCCTGCATTAAATTGTAACAGTATGGGGAAATGTTCTTTAGAGACTCAGTGCCCAAGGTTTTTACTGGGGGCTGGTAATACAGGCATCCTTATCCTTATTTATGTACTGAAATTCCAGACTCTTTGAAGGAAAACGCATGTTTAGCCCAAACTATAGTATATTGTTTGTACAGTTTAGGCACAGTGAACCACTCTTATTAGTTCCAGGAATGGTGGCAACCCTCTCAAAACATATGCCCCCAGGTACCAGCTGAGGGCCAACTGTGCAGTCAGGCTTTTGTAAGTAAGGATAGCAGTCTCAGGCCTGCCATGTTAACTTTTTCCTGCACATCTGTGTTTACAGAGATCCAGAATAATTAAAACTGGTTGCTTGGCATTGTTAACTATGAATTTGAGTTTCATTTTTATTTACATGTTTGTTAAGGGAATGGTTGGGAATGACACTAAACTTAGATGTCAATTTAGAAAAGATTTAATTACCTTTAGGAATTACAGTGAGCTCTGTTTTGATTATTTTATTATTTTATTTTTTTGAGACAGAGCCTCAGGCTATCCCCTTGGGTACAGTACCGTGGCATCACAGCTCACAGCAACTTCCAACTCTTGGGCTCAAGCGAGTCTCCTGCCTCAGCCTCCCAGGTAGCTGGGATCACAGGCACCCGCCACAATGCCTGGCTGTTTTTTGGTTGCAGCCGTCATTGTTGTTTTGGCAGGCCCGGGGCTGGATTCGAACCTGCCACCTTAGGTGTATGTGGCTGGCGCCTTAGCCACTTGAGCCACAGGCGCCGAGCCACTGTTTTGATAATTTTAAATAAATTTGAAATTCTTCTTTCATTTTTTGGAGACAGGCTCTTACCCTGTTGCCTAGGCTGGAGTGCAGTGCCACCATCATAGTGCACTGCAGCAGCAAACTCCTGGGCTCAAGTGATTCTCCTGCCTCTGCCTCCCGAGTAGCTAGACTATAGGCACACACACCATGCCAGGCTGATTTTTAAAAAATCTTTTGTAGAGATGGGGGTCTTGCCATGTTGCCTAGGCTGGTCTTCGTATTCCTGGCCTCAAGAGATCCATCCTCCTCAGCTTCCCCAAGTACTGGGATTACAAGTGAGCCACTGTGCCTGGCTGAAATTCTTTTTTGAAAGGACTTGTGGAGGACTCTGTTTTAGATGTGGATAAAAAAATGGAAGCCAGATGTTATGCCAAGTCATAGTTAATGTTAAAATTCCAATAGTCTTTTCTCTGCAGGTGATATTTACAATGGCTTGTTTGATGGAAATAAGTGAATTGAAGCATTTGTATACTGGTTCTATGGAGAGTGAGAAGCTACTGCTTTACTAAAAAATTGCCATTTTTCTTAATGTGATAATAGAATTCACCTAAAATATTGAAGAATATTTTAACAGCCATTTTTCTTCCTAATATGCTTCTTGAGAAAGTATGGTTTGGTAACATAATAGCCATGTAAAGTTATATTACTCATGGAATGTTAAGTTTTCATAGATGCTGATATATGTTGGTGTAAAAAGTCATGTTGGCTTCTCTGGTATGGGAAATTAAGTTGAAAAATAATCAGTGTTTGCCAAATGGAAAAAAACTACTTAAAAAAACTACTTGAAAAATACTTCTGTATTATTATTTTCTAATAAGGTTTTTTTTAAAGAAAGGAAATAAAAGCATTCCAGTATTTCTTTTTGTTGTTTACGACCTTGTGAGTACAGTGAACTAATCATTTTAGTTCATTTAACCGGCCTGTTTGTTTATATTTTTATTCACCTGTTGGTAACATTTATTTTTTCATGTGATTTACAGTGTTAACAAAAGTTATGTTTTGCTACATTTGATTTAATTTGTTGATAAGACTGCTGCTGTATTTATAAGTTAAAAGGTTTATACATATAATGGAATAATTCCTAGGATCTAAGAATTTTGATTTAAAAATGGATTTTTTTTGAATATTTGACTGTAATCTTTGTAAATGCAGAGTCTATGTATGAATACCAAGTGCCTAGAATACTACTTGGAACATAGTAGGTACTCAGTCATTTACTTTTTAAGTGAATGATAAAAAAAAAGTGTTAGTATAGTTGTAATTTTAAAATTAAAAATTTTGAAAAGTTATACTGAAATAATTTATAATAGCCTTTTAAAAAGACTGTTAAATTCAAACTCTTTATGTCTGATTAACCAGCAGATCCTACCTGAGTCAAATCTCTGAGTTAATTTTAGAACATGTTAACGGTAAAGTTTCATTATAACATTGCTTCCTTTAATGTTTCCAATATTGAATGTAAAATCACTAAAAAGATGTAAGAAGGACCACTGTATGTGGAACATGCTCTATAAGCTAATGTGTTTTTAAGGACACAAGGGAACAAACGAGAGAATGTGCCTCCTAGGGAGCATGATGGTGACGTGACTGAACAATCAGACGTACGAGTTGCATCTGCTGGAAATAAAAGGTACAGTATGTAATATAGATTCTCCCTTTCAGTCATTACTCTGTGAAATAGCACCTACTTAAAAGTGGCTTACTGAAGAAGTGACAGGTATGGTATATTAGCAGCCTTCCTTATTAGAGAGAATTGAATTAAAGGGAAAAAATAGGGGGAGGAGGTGATGTTAAATGAAAATTTATAGTACTTTGCAGCATTCTTTTGAAGAACAAATTTTTGGTTATAAAGTATGCTAAGGTGTCCTGAGTAAGTCAAAAGGAGAAATAAATTAAGAAATAAAGTCCATAAATTGAATTTAGTGGACAAAAATTCAATGTATGATATCTTGGAGCCATGGCACTACCAGTTGACTAGAGACATTGAAAATGTTCCTGCAGTGTGAATTTTTCTTTAAAACTTGACTTTTGATTTTCAGCTTACCGAGTAGATAACTTTTATGCTTGCTTTCTAAGATTCGTACTCATGTATGTTTCTGTCATATTGAAAAGGAAGGCTATATGTGTTTATATTAATGTGTTTTATGTTAATGTTGTGTTTTATATTAATGTCTCTATAATTTTAATTATTTTGGTAGCTTGTGTCATACATAAGGATAAGTAGTTCCAAATATATGGTATATAATGAAGATATTATTGTCATATATCAAGAAAGGTGGCTGTTTTTGTCAGAGAAAGTAATATATAAGCATTACTTGCAATAAGAGAATTTGCTGTTTGGTTCTAATTAATTAATTTTCTTTGAGGGAGTTATCTTTTTTCTGTCTTCCAAGAAAGGAATTTTTTAGGGATGCTATTCTTCTTCAAGTGTGCGCAGAGGTCACGTTTTGTTTTACGTTTTTAGAATTTATTTATGCACACTTAATATTCATTTTCCTTCCTGGGGTAACTGTTTTTATGAAAAAGGATTTTACTTGAGAACCTAAATGGCCAGTGACACAGGGTTTTTTTTGTTTGTTTTTGTTTTGTTTTTTCTTTGAGACAGAGTCTCACTCTGTTACCCTGGGTATAGAGTGTCCTGGTGTCATAGCTCACAGCAACCTCCAATTCTTGGGCTCAAGTGTTTCTTTTGCCTCAGCCTCCCCAGTATTTGGGACTACAGGCACCTCCTACAATGTCTGGCTAGTTTTTCCATTTTTAATGAGAATGGGGTCTCACTGTTGCTCAGGCTGGTCTTTTAACTCCTGAGGTCAGGTGACCCACCTGCCTCAGCCTCCCAGAGTGCTAGAATTACAGGGTGTAATTCCCCAAGCCTTGCTAGAAAAGATTTTTTTTAGAACTGAATACAGTGGGGTCTTACTATTGGAAGAGAAAAATGCTATTATTTTTTACCTTGCTTAAAAAATAAGCAAATATTAATATTATGGTGTTCATAGTACTGACCAAAGGGCCAGTGACTGATCTCTACATTTACTATAAATTTTTTCTTTCTGAAAGTTATCTGGATTTTAATTCTTTGTCTCTTTTTTTTATAGCACTCAAGGCAATGCACCGTCTACATCTACTCATCAGGAGATCTGTAGTCCTTTTGCAGGGATGCTTTTTGGTGTGTATAAAATGTCCAATTGGTTAGACTTGTGCAGAGTGTTTTATAAAAGCTTTTTAGTGAGAACTCAGTTTATAATTGATATTACTTTTACTAATAGAGTGCTTTTTGCTGGGTAGTAAGGTAAACATTTAGTATGTATTATATATCTATGTATAATTATAAAGCTAAATAACTTATTTTGTAATGTGTTCTGTATAGATTATAAGTGAAATATTAGTTTCAGTAATAAGCTTTTAATTTCATATCTTATTAGCCCTTAGTTGGAGTGTGGCTATTTCTAATATTGTTTATTTATGTGATAATTCTTTTTATTCATTCTTTTTTCTTGTTTTTTCAACTAATACAAAACTGCCTTATATTTTAGTTCAGTTTCTCTGAACTAAACCTTTTGTTTCTTCATTCTATTCATGTAGTTTCTGAGAAGATATTTTTGCTCAAATTATAATAATGGTCATATTTTCTGTTTATTTTATCAGATGTTGAAGTTTTTGCTGGATGCACATATAAGCTTGTTGATTTGCTTGTCACAATTTAATTTTAGAGAGTGTCTTTCCTATTTGTGCCTTGTAGTAGAAAAGAGGTCTGTTCTTTATGTGAAAACTTATAAAAAAATTAATAGAAATTTGGTTTTAGCAAAGTATATGAAGAAATTGGATAACAGCTTAGTTCATTCAACCAAAAAGCAGTCAATAATTTATTTTTAGTCTTGGTTTAGAGACACCTAATCATACTGTATTCTTAGATCTTTGTTTCCTAAAATGGCTATTGTGAGAAAAATGTCATGCTATCTACAATTTCATCCTTGTATAATATCTGTAAGTGCACATTGACCAATTTAACTGCAGTAGCATGTAGGGAAGCAATATTCTTATGATGTATTTTGTTAAATGTGGTAAAAGTAGGAGAAATGACTTTCTGAGCTGAGAGCCCACTGATGATTAATTTTATCAATGAAAGTATTTTTTTTTTAATTGAGTGGTAACTATGTACATTAATGCATTTCTGGGGAACAGTGTGGTGTTTTCACATAGAATTTGAAACATTTCATCAAACTGGTTAACATAGCCTTCATGTCATTTACCTAGTTATTGTGCCCAAACGTTCATATTCTACTCTTAGAAAGGTTCACTTGTACCCTTGTAAGATAAACCACAGAAGTGAGCCCTCCAATCCCCCTCCCTCCACCTATCCCCCTTCCCTCTCCCTCCCCCCTCCCCATATTCTTAGGCTGTTATTAGGTTATAGCTTTCATATAAAAGGTATAAATTAATTTCATAATAGCAGTGTATACATTGGATACTTTTTCTTCCATTCTTGTGATACTTTGCTCAGAAGAACATTTTCCAGCTCCATCCATGTGAACATGAAGGACGTAAAGTCTCCATCTTTCTTTATGGCTGCATAGTATTCCATGGTGTACATATACCACAGTTTGTTGATCCATTCGTGGATCGATGGACAATCAATGAAAGTATTAACTCTATCCTGGCATTTTATAGATGAATCACATGAGTTTATTATTAATGCAATCTAGGAATTACGGATAAATATTTGGTGAGACAATAGATTCTAATGTTTGGAACAACCATTAAAATCATTTAGCCCAGTGACTTTTCTCATAGTTGTTATGTTTTATTCCCCCAAACTATGTGTGAATTTGTACATACATATAGGACACTGGTCAGAGGCAGCACATTCATCTGTAGTTGACTCTGTTATGCTACTCACAGTTTTTTTAAATTGTCATTGCAATTGACTGAAATTTGTCTTCTCATAATTTTGTTCCAGATGTCACATGGGGTGTTTTGTTTTATTAAAAAAAAATGATTGCTTATAATGACATATCAATGTATTGTAGGATTACGACAGAACCATGGGTTATTTAAAAGTATTTGTTTTTAATTTTTGGTGATTTTCCTTCTGCCTTTTCTTATTGACTGCTTGTTTGAGTAGCTTATAGTCCAGGAATATAATTTGTATAATTTCAGGTTTGTTAAATTTCTTTAATACATTTTTTAATGGCTCAGAATATAGTCTCTATTGGTGAGTGTTTAGTATGTACTTAAAAGAATATACTTAGTACTATTGTTGAGTATAAGTAGTTTATGATTGATAAGTATGTTCGTGTCTTGTATATCCTTCATGATTTTTATCTATTTCTATTAATTGTATAGAGAGAAGTGTTGAATTCTCTATCTTATCCTTAATGTGGGATAAGAGTGCCAGAGGGATTTTCTCAGTGTTCTTGTTTTACTTCTTTTTTTTGCAGTTTTTTGGTGGGGCCAGGTTTGAACCCGCTATCTCTGATATATGGGCCCGGTGCCCTATTCCTTGAGCCACAGGCGCCACCCTTGCATTACTTCTTTGTAGAGATGGGATTTTGCTTTGTTGCCCAGGCTGGTCTCAAACTTCTGGCCTCAAGGGATTTGCATTGGTCCCCAAAGGTGTGAGCTACTTTACCAGTTTTTAGTAAGACCTACATGCTCTTGACAGAGAGGACTCTTCTTTCCACACTACTTCCCCTGTCTCAGTAATAGATTTATTACTTGGTACAAGGCTGGTCCTGCACATTTGGGTCTCAGGAATGGATTTTGCTCAATCTCCCTTATCCAGAGGGATTACCAAACTCTCCTTTAAGTCTGTGGAGGACTTTGCACCAGATTTTTCTGCCCTTCCTCTAACAGTCGCAAGGCTTTGCTGTGTATGAGTGCAGGATGATAGGTCTAAGCTGGATGTCTATCTCTGAACCGGTATTGCATCTTTTGCTTTATATAAGAGGAATCTGCAGAGTTTTTTGCGTCTCTGTGTTAAGAGTCTTCTTCAGATCTTATGTATTTCCCCCGTTTCATTTTTCTTGTGAGTATCTGGGAATTGCATTCAGGTAGAAACTCTTGTGGGTCAGGAGTCTGAGAATGGCTTACTGAGCAGATTTTCTGTTCAGAATTTTAACAGGCTATAATCAAGATGTCAGCTGGATTGAGTTTATTGTCTGTAGGCTTGATTAGGGAAAAATCTGCTTCCAAGCTCATTCATATTGTTGGAAGAATTCATTTCCTTGTAGGGCCCTTGCCCACTAGATGCCCAGTTATGTGGCTGAGGGCCCATCCTTACTGGATGCCCAGTGGAGAACTGCCCATGGTGTCTAGAGGTTGTCCACTGTTCCCTGCCATGGGATCTTGTCACCAGGGCTGCTCACTTTATGCCAGCATGGATACTTTCTCAATTATAGGAGTGGCCAAGTCCCTCTTCAAAGGGCTTTCACTTGATTATATGAAGTTCACCCAAGATACTTTCCCTTTGATTTCTTAACTATTTATTGATTTAATACTTCGATTTTATCTGCATTTTTTTTTTACCATTCCATATTTTTGGTATAAAAGCAAACCATAGATTCCACCTGCACTCAAAGGAGTCTACATTAGGGGTCAGAGAACATAATTTTGCCTACCATGGTTACATTTCTCTGTTGCTAAGGACCAGTTTGATCTGTTTGAGTCCTGTTTTAAGCTTGGCTGAGGACACCTAGAGTACATTTGTTCCAGGATTTAGTCTTACTACTACTTTGCTCCACAACTTTCAGCCATTTTAGCCTTCCTGAATTTTGATCTTTATTTTTACTTGGTTTCCTGGCTCTGTTTGAGTTCTCCTTACCTGTAATGGTAATTTGATCTAAAAATTGTGTTTGGGCAGAAACTGGAGTGTGGAGTGATGATAGGGCTTATTTCCTTTATTTTCCTTCTTTCAGGTATTGTCCTATTCTGGTTATTGTTCAGTGCCTAGAAAACAGTTATTTCTTATATTTTGTCTACTTGGCTGGTTATTTACAGTGAGAGGTTAAGTCTTGTGCTTATTATTCTGTCATGGTCAGAAGCAGAATGGAAATGTTTCTTTTCATTATAAAACGTTGTTATTAACCTTAATGTAATTTGTGTTACACCCATGAGAACATCGCTATTCCTGATGTCTGTGCCTAGACAGTCTGAGATGCTGTGTACCCACTGACTGTTGGGAGACGAATTATGAAGACAGTGGAGTAATTACTGTATAGGTTGCTTTTTTATATCCTGTGATTGTGTAGTGGTCTAGATCGTGCATAACTAGATTAAGAGGTTATTTTGTTGCATTAGCATATGTAGTAATAATCTTTTCTGCACCCCAAATTTTTGATCAATTGTATTTTCATGTAAGGAATACTAGAGTGAGTGGTTTGTATTTATTTATGTAGAATTGACATAGCCATGAAATATTTTTCAGCAGGGTGCCAGTGTGCTTAGTGTTGTTTTGAGGACAGTTAATCTTTGATATAAGTGTGCTGGATAGGTGTAAGTATGCTGGGAAAAGGAGGTTGGAGAGACTAGTTAGGAAGTAATTGTTGCAATCCAGGTGAAATGTAGAAAGGACTTACCCAAGGTTAATGGCCATAAGGATATACAGGAGGGGATCTCATGTAAATGAATAAGAGGGGATGAGCAATCAGAATTACAGTGTGGCTTTGGGGCTCTATAATTAGGCCATTAATAGAAAATGAAAAGAAGAATTGGTTGTGAGGTGCTTATTTCAGATAGGTATGTTAAATTTAAGGGACTCAACAGAAGATAATAGTGATTTATCCAGATTATTGGAAAATGGGATTGGGGATAAGAATTTTTTATTTAAGATTTTTGACTAAAGATAGAGGCTTGGAAATGATTAATATCTCTTATGTTTGGCACATAGTAGGTACTTGTAAATTATGAAATTAATTGAATGAAGAGATACTGATATGTGTGATTTTTTTTCCTTCTATATTTCTTGCATAGTCAGTAATTCTTTGATATAATTAAAATGGATTCAAAAAAAATTTCTAGTGTTGTGTGAGGCTCAAGAATTAAGGTCACATTCTCTTCTTGCCATTATCTAGGAGGTGAAGATAGAGAACTTATTCAGAGAAGGAAAGAGAAATACAGACAAGAGCTATTGGAACAAATGGCTGAGCAAAAGAAGAACAAGAGACGGTAATGAAAGGTTTGCATTTAAAAGAAATGTTTTGAATTTAAAATGCATTCATGTAAAGTGATATGATGTTTAGATAGGGGACTGACTGTTTTTCCTAATGTAATTTTTCATTTATAAATCACTTATATTTCAATCTTATAAATCATTAAGGAAAATAAAACTATGAGTGTTTGTTTTCTTTGTCATAGATAAAAATGAGATTGTGTATATATTTTATAATAGGCCTTTTGCTTCCTTCATTGATTTCCTCAATTTTTGATTTAGGGTAGCCTTTAATATTTTATATATGTCCACTAGATTATCCTACATATAATAAAAATATATAAGTATTTTTACCTTTTTTTATCTAAAATGGTAAGTACATACAGATATGCAATATAAAAATAATTATATGGTAAATCACAAGTATTTATATTGTATGTAAATATTAATGTTTATAATTTCTTATAGAAATATTTGTGAAATGCTATCATCTAAAGTTAGGAATGGTGATCTTGATTTAAGAGAATCTGAAATTGTTGTCTAGTTTTGCCCTTTTGTCTGTCTTAGAGGAAGCCAGTTGTCTGCTCTCTGATATTAGCTGTCTCTAACATTTTCGTAACTCTTTAATAAGAGAAAGGTATGTAAACTTTTACCTTTCTTTTTGCTAACTAAAAAATATATGTGCACCCTAAAAGAGTTTTTTTGTTTCACAAAGTAAAGGTTTTATTAATTTTTGTATTTTATTTTGTGTTAATTGCTTAGTCTTTAAAGTACTCTAGGCCCTGTTATATAATTCTGCAGTTACATACAAGTTCCATTTTCCTTTGTATCAAGTTAGAAAATTTGGCTTTCAGGCTCGGCGCCTGTGGCTCAAGCAGCTAAGGCGCCAGCCACATACATCTAAGGTGGCGGGTTCGAATCCCCAGCCCGGGCCCGCCAGACAACAATGATGGCTGCAACCAAAAAATGGCCAGGCGTTGTGGCGGGCGCCTGTAGTCCCAGCTACTTGGGAGGCTGAGGCAGGAGACTCGCTTGAGCCCAGGAGTTAGAGGTTGCTGTGAGCATGATGCCATGGCACTCTACCCAGGGGGATAGCTTGAGGCGCTATCTCAAAAAAAAAAAAAAAAAAGAAAATTTGGCTTTCAGTATTATTTAAGGCTTTTGCCAGTTCAGGAATTATTTGTATTTGGAGATGTATTGCATAGACTTTGTATGTAAGTTTGTTTCAATGATTATAATTTTGATAATGTTTATTATAACTTTTTAATATATAAAACTTTAATTTTGTTTAGAGAAAAAGATTTAGAACTCAGAGTTGCAGCTTCTGGAGTACAAGACCCTGAGAAATCGGTAAGTGTTCCTTGCATCTTTTAATGTTTAATCTTTTGTTCAATGTGGTTAGCAGGTGGGAATAGAGGATAGTGGGAGAAATGTAAGAGTAGACCAATTTAAACAGTAATAAAATAAACTTTTAATTTAGTTTTCATAAAATATACATTCTAGCTCTTACCTGCTATGTCCCTCAGATAACTTTTCCTTTTCATTTGTGTATCATATTTTAAGTTTATTTTACATCAGTCCTCTCTGCTTTATATAAATGTACTATTCCATGGGGAAGTTATCTCAGTTTAATTCACAATTATGTAGATATTTTTCTTGAGTATATCTTGACCACTTACAATAGAGTGATTTCTAAAGAAGTTGAAAACTTTAATTCTACTCTTAATGCATTTTAATAGTTATTTAATGTTAAATTAGAGAGGTAATAATCTTATTTTTACTTTAATTTTGCAATTCTCATCCTTAAGTGGAATGAATTACTCACATCATTGCAGTTAAGTAAGGAAGAGGTAACAATTTATTGTTCTTACAATGATGTGCTTTTTCTGTAGTTGGATATGTAGTATTTATTTGCTAAAGCAAGTTGAATGATGATTAAGACTTTTAATTTCATTAAAAAGTTCATTAAAAAGTTTTTTTGTAAAAAGATATGGCAACTTAAAATTATTCAACTATAGGAAACTTTTGATTTGCCTTTACTTAGGTACATCCTGTGTGTTCTCTGTTTAAAAACGTTTAAGACTGCACTACCATCACCCCCCAACGTGCCTTTGACTACTTACAGAGTAAAACATTTAGACTAATTTGACAAATCATTCCAGATAACCATGGTAGAAAAAACATCAATTTCAAAATTAAATACATTTCTTCTATCAATAAATACTTTTGAAGTAGCTTTTGCAATCAAAAACTTCCTTTTAAAACTTGAACTTTTTTTTTTTTTTGAGAGAGAGAGTCTCAAGCTATCTCCCTGGTTATAGAGTGTCATGGTGTCAAAGCTCTCAGCAACTTCTAACGCTTGGGCTCAAAGATCCTCTTGCCTCAGTTTTTCTATATTTATTTATTTATTTTGAGACAAGAATCTCATTTTGTCGCCCATAGTAGAGTGCTCTGGTGCCATAGCTCACAGCAACCTCAAACTCTTAGGCTGAAGCAATTCTCTTGCCTCAGCCTTCCAAGTAGCTGAGACTACAGGTGCCCACCACAATGCCTGGCTGTTTTTTTATTGCAGTTGTCATGGTTGTTTTAGCTGGCCCTAGCCACGTTCGAACCCGCCAGCCTCAGTGTATGTGGCTGGTGCCATAACCACTGTGCTATGGGTGCCGAGCCTGGCTTTTTTTATTTTAAGTAGAGACGGGGGTCTCGCTCTTGCTCATACTGGTCTCTAACTCATGAGTTCAGGCAGTCCACCCGCCTCAGCTTCCCAGAGTGCTAGGATTATGGACGTGAGCCACCGTGCCCGGCCTGAAAACCTGAACTTTTTAATGTAATATGTTGGCATGTTAAATTGTAGATTTATAGTTACGTTAGTATGTGACAGACCTTATTTATCTTTGAAATAAATCTCCTTAGAATGTCGATTGATATGAGAATAAATAGATATGTATTAGAGACCATTAGTTAGACCATTACTTACGGATTTACTTTTGATGTTCACATCTTAGAAAAGGATACATTAACGATGTACTAAAGTTGGGATTAGCAAAGTGTGTCCTGTGGTCTAATCTTTTGTGGACTGTTTTTGTAAATAAAGTTTATTGTAGCATGGCCTTGGTCATTCAGTTACATATGGTTTATGGCTGCTTTAGTTCTGTGTCTGAGTCCTGTCTTTATAAAAAGAGTACATTGCCTTGTAAAAAAAATGTATACTCTCTGGCCCTTTACAGAAAGCATTTGCTAACCGTGTTCTACAGATTATTTTGATATTGGAAGTGGCAATTAGAGAAATCATATAGTGTTATAATATATAGAAAGGATTTTACAGGTTTTTTAAAAATTAATACCTGGTTTTGGCCTATACTTAATTATTTATTGATAGTTAGACCTTAGATGATATGTGAAATTCTCAAGGCACCTCAGTTATCCTTCTATAAAATAAGAGTTAGATCTTCAAAGTCTTTCATAGCTATAAAGTTCTGTTGTTCTGGGGCGGTGTCTGTAGCTCAAAGGAGTAAGGTGCTGGCCTACTCCTTTCAAACCCAGCTCTGGCCAAAAACTACAAGAAAAAAAAATTCTGTTCTTCTGTGACTATCTTTAGTGCCTGTTGTGGTAGAGGGTCTTTTGAAGTCTCTTCCTTCTTCAAATTTGTGATGATAATATAACAAACAGACTTCTTTTTCTTTATTTTAGCCTGATAGACTAAAGCAGTTTAGTGTGGCACCAAGACACTTTGAAGAGATAGTACCACCTGAGAGGCCCAGAGTAGCTTTCCAGACTCCTCTCCCTCCTTTATCTGCCCCATCCGTACCACCCATGCCGGCAGTTCACTCTGTGCCTCCTCAAAATGAAGATTTTCACAGTGGATTAAGCAGTGCCTTTGGTGAAATGGTGCCTCCCAGGTGCTTGTTTACAATGTTTTGTGTTTGAATATTGGGTAAGGTATTGTTATATTTTGTGTTTAGAAGGATGTGCTGCAGATGACTTTATCCTTCAGAGTTTGTATAATTAACAGCTTTGTCAAATAATTTCTCTTCAGATTTGCTTTAATTGTTGGTCTTTTCTCTCCTCTTAGGGAAATCTTTATAATATTGTTTTATTATTTAAAAATGATTTTGTTCTTTAGAGTGAATCACTAAGTACATTTTAATATTAGGTTATGTTTTGGGATATCTGTTTTTAATCTTTTAACAGATAAAAGGTATTCCTTTTCCACAATTTTGTTATTTCCACTTGGCAAACATTGAATTCTTCAATTTATGTGGAAAAAGTTTCTGATGTGACTCTCATATGTATATATGATTTTATTTTGGCTTCTATTCCTCTTAATCTCTTTCTCTGTGGTGACTTAGGGGCTATGCAACTCAAATGTCCGAAATGAAAAGTGTTGAGATTATAAAACCTGTAACTTGGGTACTGGGGTAAAGATTTGATTTCTATAGGCAAAAGGCATCATGCTATACTAGACTATACATAAATAAGATTGTGTTTTCAACATTGATTTTGTGGGCTATTCTTTCTTCTCTCTGTAGGACTGACCTTAGTTTGTGTTCACTATTAATTTGTTAATTGTTAAAATGTATTTAAAGATGCAAATGTTTTTGTTAATTTCTTTGAGCATTAATATTTTCTGGGCTATACCTCCTTTTTTCAGTAGGACTGGTCTAATCTTTTATTTATCACTAACTGTGCTTACTGTATTTACCAAGTGCTTTGTTTGTTTCATCTGATGCCTTCCCCACTCAATAGACTGGAAGGGATTAGAATTACAGAGCATTGTATATTGGTTTCATCTTTGGAATGGGGATGGAAATTGGCTTCTCTATTTGGATTTTGGGGAAACCATACCTTTGCTGAACTTCAATTTTCTCATTTGTGAAAGTGGAATATTAACTTTTCCCGTATCTACAATTACAGGGTTGTTGTATTTAATCTTATATAAATCTCTGTAAAATTAGACTTGATGATGACAACCCTTTTATAACAGTTTGTGTCACGAAAACAGTTTTACTGATGTATCTTTGGGGTGAAGGTATTAAGTTAGGCACATTGAATGGCTGGTAAATGTAAAGAATATTTACTACTGAAGAGAACTTCATTGCCTTTTTACTTCTTTAGAATTATTTTAAAGTATGTGACAAGGGAGAATTTGTTGAGATACACTAAAAAATGAGAATATTCTAGATTGCTCTCTTTTTCTTTCTGTTCACTTAAAGGCATTTGCCTTTCTATTTGCCTTCTATTTTACGGCTGGAAAATATTGCATTGGTGGAAATATATTTCCAGTTCAGTAGTGGAGTGCTGAAATAGAGGGTTTCTAAAGTTTTTTAAATCTGTGAAATATTAAAGATTACGTCAAGACTTTGCTACTGATATTAAAGTGGTTTTTATTTCTTATATGGTTGACCTCCTTTGAACGAATAATACATTTTACTGTTAAAAAGTCCACTCTTGGCTGGACGTGGTGGCTCACGCCTGTTGTCCCAGAGTTGTGGGAGGCCGAGGTGGCTGGACTGCCTGAGCTCAGCTGAGTTTGAGACCAGCATAAGACCAGTGTTAGACCAGTGTGAGCCAGAGTGAGACCCTGTCTCTACAAAAAAAAAAAAAAAAAAATGCCAGGCATTGTGGCAGGCACCTGTAATCCTAGCTACTTGGAGGCAGAGGGCAAGAGAATTGCTAAAGGAAGAAAGAAAGAAAAAAAAATTAAAAAAAAAATGAAAAACTAAGATGAGTGAAAGCCAGCTGAAATTGAAAACAAACAAACAAAAAAAGTACACTCTTTCCCCCAGTCAGACTGAATTGTTTGAAGTCATGCTGTTTGTAGCTCTTTACCTTTTCTTCCCGGACGGGCCCACTCTAGTAACATGGCTCAAACATTGCCTCTTCTGGAAGCCATGCTCGTGCCCTCTTCCTGTGCCTTATGTGATTTGAATGTCCTTGCTCCATGTTCCTATAGCACTCTGCATCTACTTCTGTTATTCTGTTTACTATACTTGGCTACAGTTGTTTATTTCTATGCTATTCCTGAGGAATAGGAATCATGTCCATCTTTGTTCGATACTGGCACATAGTGACTATACTAAGATATTAACTGACTGGATATTAATTTAAGTTTTTGCCTTACATTAATGTTGTACTTGAAATTGTGCAATTTTATGCTATATTATTTGGTTTTTGAGTCATAATTTTTGATGAATGATTAGAACAAGAGGGTTTTTTGTTAGTGTAATGATTGGATTTTTAGTAATATTTTTACAGAAGAATGATATCTTGATTTTTAAAAATCATTTCTCATGAAATATGAGAAGAACTTTTTATTTTCTTTTCATATAGGGTTGCACCACTGCCTCCTCCTCCCCTACTACCACCTTTGGCTGCTAACTATCGCACTCCTTATGATGACGCATACTATTTTTATGGGGCCAGGAACACTTTGGATCCCAGTCTTGCTTATTGTAAGTTATCTATAGGGTAAGCGTTTTTTGTTTTTTCCCCCCCACCAGAGGTTCATAAGGAAAATTCATTTTTGTGCAAGCCAAAAATACCTAAATGAGAAAAGCATAGCTTTGCTAGATTTAAATAATATACACTTGCTAACTTAGTAAATATCCTATTTCAAAGCCCAGTTACATTTCAAAGTTACTTTCTTTTTGTCTAGAGTTAAGAAATAACTATTCTGTTACCTTGTGTTTTTGTTTGCTAACTCCTAACCCAGCAGGAAATACTGATGCTTTTCCTTAGTAAACATGTTCATTATGCGCCTCTTTTTAGGGATAAAGTGTTATTAAATGGGTATCCTGAAATGAATGTTTTGTTTTTCTTTTAAGATGGTTCCGGAATGATGGGAGTACAGCCTACAGCTTATGTTAGTGCTCCTGTTACCCACCGACCAGCCCAACCTATTGTGTAAGTTGTTAGTTAAAAGAACAGTATCTTTTTTTCTTTTTTCTTCTTCACCTTTTAAAAATTTTGTTAAAATACAAATAACAAAACTTACCATTTTAACATTTTTAAGTGTGCTATTTCGTAGTAATTAATATGTTCATAATATGCATCCATCACAACCATCTTAAGAACTCTTTTTATCTTATAAATTAAAACTCTATATCCATTGAACAATAATGGTGTAACTCCCCACTTTGCTTTCTCATCCCCTGGCAACCACTATTCTACTGTCTGTCTCTGAGTTTGACTATCCCAAGTGCCTTACGTAAGTGGAATCATACAGTGTCTGTCTTTTGTGACTGGCTTATTTCACTTAGCATAATGTCCTCAAGGTTCATTCATGTTTTAGCGTATGTGAGAGTTTCCTTCCTTTTCAGTGCTAAATAATATTCCATTGTGTATTTATACCACATTTTGGTTATCCCTTCCTATGTCTGTTGACACTTGGGTTGCTTCCATATTCTGGCTGTGTGAATAATGCTACCATGAATGAGAGTATACAAATATCTTTATTGAGACCCTGTTTTAAATTATCTTGGGTATATACTCAGAGCTGTAATAACTGGGTCATATGGTAATACTGTTTTAATTTTTTGAAGAACTGATGCACTTTTTTTCCACAGTAATTGACCATTTTATATTCCCACCAGCAGGGTATAAGTGTTTCATTTTCTCCATATCCTTGCCAATACTTATTATTTTCTGGTTTTTTGATACTTGCCATCCTAATGAGTGTGAGGTGTTAAGACGTTGTTGTTTTAATTTTTATTTCCCCACGATTAGGGAGCATCTCTATTCAGGTCCTTTTCCTGTTGTTGAATTGGGTTGGTTTTTATTTTGTAGCTATCTTGTTCTCTTTATTTCTTTGTGATTATTTCAGTTGTTGTCACCTGTTCTTTCATTTCAAACTAAGGGCTCCCTTCATTATTTCTCACAGAACAGGTCAGTTAGTGATAACTGTTCTGAGTTTTTATTTGTTGGTCTACTTTCTCTTTAATTTTTTTTTAAATTTCTCTTTCATTTTTGAAGGACTTTTAAAAAATTTCAGAATATTAGGGGGTATAAATGTTTTGGTTACATAAATTGCTTTTGTACACAGTTTGAGTGTGCCTATCACCCATATAGCATACATTGTACTTGTAAGGGATGATTTCACCCACCAGCTTGATTTTCGTTTTACTTCTGTCTGTGCACAGGAATGCTGATTGGTTAGTTCCAGTTTAACAGAGAGTACATGTGGTGTTTGTTGTTTTGTGTTGTTTGTGATACTTCACTTAGGAGAATGGTCTCTAGTTCCATCCAGATTGTTGCAAAAGGGTTCTTTCATTTTTTAAATTGCTGAATAGTATTCCATGGTATGTACACCACATTTTATTAATCCATTCACAAGTTGAAGTCCACTTGGGTTTATTTCACAACTTTGCAATTGTGAATTATGCTGTAGTAAACATTCTAGTGCAAGTGTCTTTTTGATAAAATATCCAGTAGAGGGATTGCTACATCAAATGGTAAGTCTACTTTTAGTTCCTCGAGGAAACCTCCATACTGTTTTCTACAGAGGTTGTACAAGTTTGCAGTTCCACTAACAGTGTATAAATGTCCTTTTCTCATCAAATCTATGCTGGCTTCTATTATTTTGGGGCTTTTTGCTAAAAGCCATTGTCACTGGGGTTGGGTGATGTCTCACTGTTGTTTTGATTTGCATTTCTTTGATGATTAGTGAAATTGAACATTTTTTCATATTTTATTGGCCATTAGTCTATCTTCTTTTGAAAAGCTTTTGTTTATGTCTTTTGCTCACTTTGTAAGTGAGTGTTTGCTTTTTTTCTTGGTGATTTGCATGATTTCTTTGTTATTAGCCTTTATTGGATATATCGCATGTGAATATTTTCTCCCATTTTGTACGATTTCTGTTTGCTCTGTTGATTGTTTCCTTGGCTATGCAGAAACTTTTTGATTTAATCAAGTCCCATTTAGTTATTTTTGTTGTTGCTGTGATTACACTTCATAAATTGTTTGCCTGGGCCAGTATCAAAAAGAATTTTTCCTGTATTTTCTTCTAGAATTCTTATAGTTTCTTATCTTAAATTTAAGCCTGCAGTCCATCTTTAATTAATTTTACTGAGTCGTGAGAGATTTGGATCCTGTATCAGTCTTCTTCAGTTTTCCCAGCAGCATTTATTGAATAGCAATTCTTTTCCACAGAGCACATTGCTGTCTACTTTGCCGAGGATCAGAAGGCAGGATAGTTTTCATGGATATAGGATTATATTGGTCGAATGTTTTTTTCATTCTGCACTTTGCGTGTTATCCTCAGCCATCTGGCCTTTGTGGTTTTTGATAAACTGTTAATTTTAGTGAGGACTCCCTGTATGTGATGTATGGTTGTTTTCTTCCTGCTTCAAAGATTTTCTCTGTGGCTATCTTTTTAGTTTTTTGTGGAATTAGGTCTTACTACATTGCCCAGGCTGGTCTTAAACTCCTGGCTTGAAGTGATCCTCCTGCTTCAACCTCTAATAGTTCTGGGAGTACAGGCATGATCTGCTGTACCCAGCCTCTGTCTTTGTCATTCAGCACTTTGGCTATTATGTGTATAGTTTGGATCTCTTTTGATTTTTTACAGTTTTATGAGCTTATTGAAAGTGTATAATATTTTTCTTCACATTTGGGAAATTTTTGCCCATTATTTCTTAAGATATTCTTTATGTTCCTTTCTCTGTTTCTTCCTGAGGCTTTCTACCAGGAAGTATATATAGAGGTACACTTGATGGTGGCCCACAGAGTCTCTGAGGCTCTGTTCATTTTCATCAGTCTTTCTCTTTCTGCTGTAGACTGCATAATTCTCAGTTGACCTTTAAGTTCATGATTATTTCTTCTCCCTGCTTAAATCTGCTTTTGAGCCTCTCTAGAGAATTTTTTTTTCAATTACCATGCTTTTCAATACTATCATTTCTATTTTTTAAGTAATTTTTATGTTTTCATTGATATTCTTTGATGGACATTGTTTTCATAATTTAAACCCTTGGAGATGATTTTCTGTAGTTCTTTTCACATACTTCTCATAACTGATTCAAATTGTTTGTTGAGGCTCGACGCCTGTGTCTCAAATGGCTAAGGCGCCAGCCACATACACCTAAGGTGGCGGGTTCGAATCCCCAGCCCGGGCCTGCCAAACAACAATGATGACTGCAACCAAAAAATGGCCAGGCGTTGTGGCGGGCGCCTGTAGTCCCAGCTACTTGGGAGGCTGAGGCAGGAGACTCGCTTGAGCCCAGGAGTTGGAGGTTGCTGTGAGCATGATGCCATGGCACTCTACCCAGGGGGATAGCTTGAGGCTCCGTCTCAAAAAAAAAAAAAAATTGTTTGTTGAGTAAATCTAACACCTGGGGTTCCTTAGGGACAGTTTCTGTTGACTGCTTTTTCCCCCTGGATATGGCCCATAATTCTCTGCTTCTTTATAAGTCTCATAATCTTTTTGGTGGAAAACTGGACATTTAAAAAACATAATGTGAGGCTGGATGTGGTGGCTCAGGTCTGTAATCCCAGTGTTCTGGGAGTCCAAGGTTGAGACCAGCCTGACCAAGACTAAGACCCTGTCTCTAAAAATAGCCGGGCATTGTGGTGGGCACCTGTAGTCTCAGCTTCTTGGGAAACTGAAGCAAGAGGATCACTTGAGCCCAAGAGTTTGAGGTTGCTGTGAGCTGTGACACCACAGCACTCTACCCAGGGTGACAAAGTGAGATTCTGTCTCCCATCCGCCAAAAAAAAAATACATAAAATAACATAATGTGGCAATTATGGAAACTAAAGTCTATCCCCACCCCCCACCCCTTGATTTATTGTTGTTGCTATTTGTTTTTTGTTGTTGCTGTTTTCTAAGTACCTTTGTGACTTCTATAAAATCTGTATTCTTTGTCATAAGTGGCCACTGATCTCTGTTAGGTTAACTTAGTAGTTAACTCATGAGAGATTTCTTTTGGTTTTTTTATTTTGGAATATTATGGGGGGTACACTGTGTAATGTTTTGGTTACATAGTTTGCTTTTGTATATTTTAAGTCAAAGTTAGAATTGTGCCCTTCATCCAGAAAGTGTACCATATACCAGTGTGATGTCCCTTTGGGTGGGAATTCACTCTTCCCCTTCTCCCTCTTCCCACCCACTGAATTTCACTGAGAATTACTTCCATATTAGCAGAGGAGTATTGATCAACTAGTTCTAATTTAGTATTGAGTATATGTGGTGTTTGTTTTTCATTCTTATGATACTTCACTGAAGAGAGTGGTCTCCAGATCCATTCAGGTAAATGGAGAGAAAGAAGAGATGCAAAGTCTTAGTCCTTTTTATGGCTGGATAGTATTCCATGGTATACATGTACGGTGGTTTATTTATCCATTGTGAATTGATGGGCACTTGGGTTATTTCCACATCTTGGCAGTTGTGAATTGAACTGCAATAAATATTCTAGTGCAAATGTCCTATGGTAAAATGATTTATTTTTCTTCTCAATAGATAGCTAGTACTGGGATTGTGGAATCAAATGGAAGGTCTACATTTAGTTCTTTGATGATCCTATATACTCCTTTCCAAGGAGGCTGTATTAGTTGGTATTCCCACCAACAGTGTAGAAATGGTCCCTTTTCTCCACACTGATGCCGGCATCTGCAGCTTTGGGACTTTATTTTTGTTTGTTTGTTTGTTTGTTTTTGTTTTTGAGACAGAGTCTCACTATGTCGCCTTCAGTAGAGTGCCATGGTGTGACAGCTCACAGGAACCTCAAACTCTTGGGCTTAAGCAATTCTCTTGCCTCAGCCTCTCAAGTAGCTGGGACTACAGGTTATTTTTTTGTTGCAGTTGTTTAGCTGGCCCAGGTCAGGTTGGAACTTGCCACCCTTGGTGAATGTGGCTGGCACCATAACCACTGTGCTACAGGTGCTGAGCCAGATTTGGGACTTTGTGATGT